ATGATCGGCGTGACTATATTATCGAAGAATATAAATAATCAAATTTAAAAATTAAAAAAAAAAAAAAACATCATTCTACCAAAATTTCAAATATGTTTTTCATCAAAAATAATTGAGGGAGACTGTCCATTCAAATTATATAAAAAAATGTTATCTTGTGAAATATATATATATATATATATATATATATATATATATATATATATATATATATATATATATATATATATATATATATATATATATATATATATATTAGAAATGATAAATTTACACTAGTTTTGATACATACACCCTATAAATATACATAAAGTATGCTAGTTTTATTGTTTTATTAATTTATTTTACGTGCAACTAACATTTTGTATTGTTTTCGTATTGACTGAGTTATTACTTTCTTGAGATTTGAAGGAGTTATGAAAGTAGTAAAGTGTAGAAAGTAAAGAGCAAATAGAAATATCATGGTTCCCTTCACACTCCGAAGGTACTCCAGTCCTCTTTCGCACCGAAAGAGATTTCGCTATAGTTGGATCAGTGTACAATACTTTATAACCTATAGGTAGATTAAATGCCCTTAAACACCTTTAAAATCTAAACACTAAGTGCAAGAGAACAATCATCTTCAATGCACACACTTGCTTTCGACAATCCTGAATAGCAAGGAGAAATAGATACAATCAGAATTTAAGAGTTTGAAACTGTGTATACAAAGTTTTATCAATGTTGTGATTAATCTTCTCTTTCAATAAGAATTTCCGCAAATATTTAAGACTTGTTGCTCAAGAATTTTCTTTCAAAGGATATGAAAATTATGCAGAAATTTTTTTATGAAAAGTAATTTGGATTCAGATGTGGAAAGATAAAAATATGTTAAAGATTTTGAAAGAGGTAGTTTTTGAAAAATGAAAGATTAAGTATTTATATTACACAAACACCTCTTAAAATAATATGCAAATCCTCAGAAAAATTGATGAACAATTGTCATGTTTCAATGGAAACAATTCACAGAAGATTGGTTGAAAGATGTAATTTTTCAGAACAATTTTTCAAAAACGTTCAGTGAGCAATCGATTGCACATATAGACCAACCGATTGCACCTTCACAAAAATCACTTGAAATTCAAATTTTGAACAGAGCAGCCGATTGCACCAAAGCACCAATCGATTGCACTAAGAAACAGAAGCAAAAATACAAAGATTTTTAAGTATGCAATCAATTTCACTAAGAAACAGAAGCAAAACAGAAATAAAATTTTGATCATCCAATCGATTGCTCTAAGAGTGCAATCGATTGCACTTGCAAAAACTTAGAAAAGTTCTGTTTTAAAAATTTTGTGTTAGTGTGAAAAGTAATGCAAAAAGTCTTTGATTGTTTGAGCAACTAGGACTTAAATACTTGATGAAAATTTTCATTATACCTTATAATGAGATCATTCTTCATGTCAAGTCTTTGTCCTGATTCTGATATCTTAAAAATGGTTGAACATCTTTGCCTTCTTGTTAAGTGGTTTGTCTTTATTAAAACATAGGTTGATATTTGAGAATCTTGATTTCACAACACATACACTGTATTTTCTATCATGAATTTGTACATATCATTTTTTAATAGTTTTTTTTTACTTATTTTGATATTCGTGCAAGGATAGAACAAATGCATACATACCATGTAATTGTATGGTGTAGAAAATGGGTGTCGTCATACTATAGCTAAAAAAATATAAGAATAGCATAGTTTATATATATATATATATATATATATATATATATATATATATATATATATATATATATATATATATATATATATATATATATATATATATATATATATATATATATATATATATATATATATATATATATATATATATATATATATATATATATATATATATAAACACATACATACATATATTACTACAAAAAAAATTGTTTCTTGCCACGTAAATTTCACGTCAACCTTGAAAATCACTTTACAATACAATTTTTGCGACGTGACTATTCACGTGGCAGGAGGATGTATGAAAACTTTTGTTGCCACATGAATTTCACTTCACAACTTTGTCACATGAATTTCACTTCACAACTTCTTTTTTATAAAAATAAAATAAAAAACTTTTTTACGTTTATGTTATGTTTATTACTGATTTATTAAAAAAATCTATTATATTTAATAAATAAATATAATTTGATTTAAATAAATATATAATATAATCTGTTTTATTTAATAAATAATTATTTATATGTAAATTAATATAATTTTTTTAATAAAAAAATCATATATTTTTGTTTTAAATAAATATATTAAAAAATTTTGAATAAAATTTTCGTTTTAAATATATATTACAATACACATATTCAACCAAAAAATATATAATATTTAAAAAAAAAACAACCAATAATATATGAAATTCATAAGAAAAAAAATAATGACAAAAATATCTCTTCTTCAATCTCCTTCAATCTTCTTGTTACAATATTATTTCTTCAATTTTTTGTTCAAATTTCTCCTTCAATCTTCTAAACTTTAACATTTTGACATAAAAAGATTGAAAATAAATTAAGTAAGAATATATTAGGTGTGACCCGAAATACTTAAAAAACAGTAGAAGAAATAAATTGATAGAAATACCTTAAGTTTAGAGATGAGGAAAATGAATGAGGGTTGCAATGAGGAAGAGAAAGAGAGTAAAAATGAATGAAGGTTGCAATGAGGAAGAGAAAAAGAGTAAAAATGAATGAAGGTTGCAATGAGGAAGAGAAAGAGAGTAAAAGTAAGTGGAAAATGAATTAAGTTGGGAGATATTGGAAATGAAGAGAGTAGAAGGAAAATGATAAGATTGTATGTAAAGTAAGTGGCCTTGGAAACATAAATGACGTGTTGACTTAAAAGTCCAACCTAGTGACGTGAATTTCACGTCGGAACCTTGTGAAGTGAAATTTACGTCGCAATGTCCAACGAATATATTTTCAATTTTCAATTTGCAAAGTGACAAACACGTCGCTAATTTGCAAAGTGACAAACACGTCGCTAATTTGCAATGGTCAAAATTTTTGTCAGTCCCAACTTGCGCATCCTGTACTCCATCACTTCACCTTCATATATTTTTCCCTCTTAAACCTTGCGACGTGAATAACACTTCACAAGCAAAATTTTGAAATTTTCAAACTTCCCTCTTCTGTACGCCATGATCCTTTTAATTTTTTCTTATTTAAATTTAAATATTGCGGCATGATTTTCACGTCACAATTTTCTTTTATAAATAAAAATCTCATAACCCACGTGTTATATTTAAACATAATATTTTAATGTTAAATATGTTACTGACGTGATAAACACGTCGCAAATGCCTATTTTTTGTCACATATTTTTCACTTTACTAAATTACGAGGCTGAATTCAACATTTCTTGTAGTATATATATAAAAGAAATTTCATGATGACAAAGAGCTATATAACATGTATGCATCAGGATAGTTACTCATTAGTTTTTTCTACAAATAAAAAGATTTTTCATTTTGAGGAAGTTCATTTCCATTTAAAATCCTACCTAAATAAATGTCACATATGTTGGTGATTTTAGTATCATCAATGTATTTTAGTAGTAATGTGATTTATTGTAAGCCGATACAATTATGCGTTAAGCTTGGAAACGAGTTAGGGTAGTGCAGAGTGCACGCTCGTAGAGCCAACGTGTAATTGAATGCGAATAATTGAAAAATGGGTTCCAATGGGCGAAGCCCCTGGCGGGGTGCAGGGGCAGCGCCCCACTGGGGTTCCAAGGGGTGAAGCCCCTGGCGGGGTGCGGGGCAGCGCCCCGTGGGGTTCCAAGGGGCAGAGCCCCTGGCTGGGGTCCCGTTTTCTGAACAGTTGAACCCGTTCGAAATTTTCTGAACAGTTGAACCCGTTCAAAATTTTCTGAACAGTTGAACCCGTTCGAAATTTTGAACAGTTGTGCCTTTTCAATTTCTGTTATTAATTTCCTACATAAGGAGTCATTTGGCCTCAAATTTGAACACACAAAAAATAGTGAATACCATATTTTCTCTCTATTCCTGATCTATTCTCTATTGCCGGAAGGAGATTGTTCTTCAAGAATTATCCCCACAAAGATTTCGTGAACCCAGACAAATAATAGAGTCGAAATACTTTATTCGAAAAATGTACGAACGCGATTCCTCGAAGTTATCCAGGATTATCATACCAAATTTCTAACAACATCAGCATGCGTGCCCATACAAATGATACATAATCCTAATCCTGCTAGTTAGTGATTTGAATGATCTATGTAAAGGTGGGAATGTAAATCAAAATTTCAGTTCATAGACATATGTATGAAGTAAAATTTACAGTTGTTATGTCATTTTACACATTTATAAAGTGTACACTTGTAAATGAGAATAGTATTTATAATTTTTTTTACTTGTAGAACATTATGATAAATTTTTAACTTTTTTGTTGACAAATGTTATACTTATATTTTAATCATAACAAATAGTTTTTTCTTATGTTTGAATCTGAGAATCTCTCAAACAGAATCATACAGAGTATTATAAATTTAAACACAAAATGTGATCCAAATGTCATCAAAGTGTTCTATTGGCACCATTGTCAGTACTTTATCTAACTAATGGACAACCGACCATAACATCATCAACTTCAGTTCAGAATTAATTAATATTAAATCCAACTAATAAATCACTAATGATAATTAACACAACAAAACCAGTAAATAAATAAAACACATACTTAATTAAACCAACATTTCTCTATGATTTTTAGACAATAAAGTAAAAGCATAACTAGACTTAAAGAAGAGTTAAAAGCATAGCAAGAACCATTATAGAGAAAGCCCCTCATCTTACACTAGATGGACCCAAAATAATTAAAAGCTGAAAGGATATTTTGGCTTCATACTAGGAAGCAAAATAAAAGACAAAGGATAATGATGTTATTACAAAATTAAAGCACTGGTAAAACTGGAATAAATTAGTTTCATCCTAAGAACATTTCTGTTTCTGAATAGCTTCTTCCTCGTCTGTTAAAATCTGTTTGCACCTACAATCCACACTACAAAAGGCTTTGTCTCCTCTGCAATAAATATAAATAAATAAACGTAAAAATATATGGATTTTGTGTGTGTATAAGATCTAGAGGAAAAGAATATGGCATAATGGTTCATGGAACTTACTTGTACATGTAGATATCTTTCTCGGATAAGAGTTTCTTGTTACATAGGAAACATTGCTGAAGAAAAGATGAAACCTTAAAAGGATTTGAGGTTGTGCAAAGCATCATGGTAGTTTTGTTAATAACTTGAAGAGTGTTATTATTGTGGTGGTTGTTGTATTTCGTGGATTCAGCTTCTTCTAGGACTACACCAAGACCAACCATATTTCATTCTCTGATTTTTTATTGTTGTGGTGTCACTGTTAAATTGTTTAGTGTGTTTATGTTGTTGGTGGCGAATGAATAACTTTGGGGAAAGGTAATAACATAAATAGGAAAAAAAGAAGGAGAAGAAAATGAATAGTACAAAAAGAGAGTTATGGTGGGGCCCGCTACAGCTATGAGGAGGAGTAATAAAGGACAAAGATTTTGACTGTGTGTGGTATTCAAGTGCCACGTAGAGAGTGGTTTTGTCGTGTAGTGGTGTAGCAGTTATTTTGGCTTTGGTGTGGTTAAAAAGAATGAATGAGTGAGTAGTGGTCAGTGGCGTTTAACTTTTGATTAGGTGAAAGGAGACATTGTGTGGGTTCTGTGAGCTAGGGACTGTGGGAGTGTGACTGTGTTTTTTGGACTATGTGAGTCATAGAAAGTATCCTATTTTTGAATTATTCACTACTTAACTTTTCAACAATAATGTAGTCACAATCTGCAAATTACACCTTTTCAGCTTATCTTTATAGTAATCCATCTATTAATCATGCAATCTTAAAAGTATGATTATTTAACCAAATTTAAATTTCACAACTCGCGCGCTAAACATCAATAGCAATTATATGAAAATTTTGCCTCATACCTCATCATTTATTCTCCTACTCCTACTTTTATGTTATATTTTCTTTTATCAAAATATCTTCATATAAATAAATGTAAAATTTTCTTGATTTAATTATTTGACCCATAATTTAATAAATGAATCTATCTTTAAAAACTATATTATTAATATTCTTAACAAACATCCCAAGTATTATCTATCTATATTATTATATAATCTCACAATGTCTTTATCAAAAAATTTCTACTAAATTTTTTTCCTCTAATTAATTAATTAAATATAAATATATTTATTATTAACTCCATTTAAAACTTCCAATTAAGTCACATTCTTATATTTTAAATAATTATTAATTAACAAGTACAATAAAACATGTCCTGAATTTTTTAACATGTTTATTGTATTATTAATAATTAAATATTATTATTAATTAATCTTTTATTACTAATAATTAAATATTATTATTATTAATTAAATAATAATTAAATTAAAATATTTAACATGTTTATTTCTCAAATTTCTCTCCACTCAACACTCTTTATTCATATCATGCAAACAATTAACCTCACTCCACTCATAACATCTTTTTAACCCCACATTAATAGGACACATAGTAATATTAAATTAAAAAAAAAAAATTAGACATAATGCAAACCTTAAAATTACTTAATACAAAAATAAATTAATAAATATAATTCATAAAACGGTTAAAGTTTTTTATAGCCCCACTAATTTCATTATTTTATTCTATTTTTTACACAAAATTTAAAGTTTTTTTATAGCCCCCACTGATTTCAATTACTTTATTCCATTTTTTTCCCAAAATTATCTTCTCACTAATCAAATTTATATCTCATCGGTTTATACATTTTTTTTTACAAAGTTATGTTTATGTTTAATTAATTAATTAAAGGAAAAAAAACTTAGCGGGAAATTTTTGACGAAGACATTATAAGATATATAATAGTATAGATAGATAATACTTGCCATGTTTACTTATAATATTGATAAAGTAGCTTTTAAAAATAGATTTATTTATTAAATTCTAGATCAAATAATTAAACCAAAAATTTTTTACACATATTTATATGAGGATACTTTGGTCAAAAAAAATATATAATGTTAGGGTAGAGGAATAAATGATGGGGTATGAGGTAACATTTCTCAATTATATCCACACCAACATAGTTTTGTTTCTTCACCCCAAAATACACCCATGGCCCAACTAATATTTACATGGAAATTTATCTCCTACCTATAGTCCCCACCCTACATTTTTAACATATTTTAATTTTGTATCTATCAAATAATTTATAATTTAACTTTTATCACAACAATTAACTTTTTTTGAAATTGGATAATTTTGCATACTTACATGATGCATCATTACTTCAGAGAATTTAAGTTGAAAAAAATTTGTCACCTAGCAAGGATTTCCGTGACCAAAAATCATTGGAAAAAATGACACCGCTCAAAATCAACATTTTAAATGTTAGAATTTTTTAGACGACTACAACATTGACAATAACTTATATTTATAGTGTCAAACATTATTAATTTAGAATAATTATATTTTGTTTGATTGCATTGACGTTATATTATATTACATACTAATAATAATGAATAAGACTAAAATAATAATACACAAGTCAACTAATCTAATGGATGATTGTGAGCCAAGTGTAATGCTCGAAATAAGTCTATAAACTCATAGTCGTCTTCATTAGAACCAATTAATCGATATGACTATAGCGAGAAAACAATCAAAGACAGCCTCAGATCTAATGCTCTTGCATCATAGTTAAGAGCATGCCTTCTCCTCTATGTATCTTGAGGGAGATTGTACTAATTGAGGATGTGAAACTCTATAATATCACTCCAAATATCCAATTTCCACTTCAGATGGAATGCTAGCCACAATTGTTTGACCAGCCACCTTTTGCACGTTGGAATGGTAACAAATCCACTACACACCAATATCATGTATGTTATACTTAAGAGGTGGATACAATATATACTTTCTAAAGTCAAACTAACTTATACACTTATTAAGCAAGTATGGAACAATTGTCCCCTATATATACATATATCGTCAAATGATCGCTCTTATCTATGCGTCTCGAAAGGGCATCATATGACATCAGCAAGAGTCAGACCATCCAAAACACTCCTCAACTCAGTGAACCTTCAACATTCCTCACCCATCACATAACCTGAGGAAGTCCACAACTGCTAGTTAGGATTATACTCTTTAACTCTCTTACTAATGATAAGAAAATAATTGTGTATTCAACATTGTTACAACATTAGTATTTCAATAATAAACGAATAAATACATAAGTAAAAGTAAATAAAAGTAAATAGTAAAAAAGGTATACTTATAGTTGAGTAGCGTATCCGTTGAGCTGCTTGCAAGGTGAACATATAGTCATCTCCTAAAAACATGTCCAACGTGAGCAAATTAGTTGTGCCCTTGATATACATCCTAAATCCTGACATATTTCTAAAAAAGGTAGATATTTACCAGTAAAACTTATGTCATAAAAAATAGTGGAGCCGACCAACATCATCATGTAAGATCTTATGGCATAGTTGGATTGTGATAGACCTAGATGATGCTTAAATAAACCATAAAGTTACTCTAGTATGTAATGTGAGTCCCTATAGCCACGAGCCTCTTGTGTAGTATCCTATATGGTCCATGTCAAAAGACCAATAACAAGAGCAACAACACCTTCTTTATTGATACCCGACGGGGCATCCTATAAATTACCCATAATAGGAAGGTGAAGAAGGCAAGAAAAATTGTCAAAAGTGATAGTCATTTCACCAAATGACATATGAAATAACGATGTCTCTTAATGTCATCTCTCAACAAAAGAAGATACAAAGTTGGCATCAATCCTATTTAAATTGGTTCTCTGAAGTGAAGATAAATCATAGTCATTCAACCAACCATCTATAAAAAATGAGAGATATTGTGGAACCCATTTTATCAGCTTACTCCCATGACCTGCAATCTTCAATTCTTTCTTCGGTCCTTGCTCCAGAAAACAATTTATTGTATAAATTATAAAATACAAATAACATTTAAAATTAAGGATTATTCAAAAGAATTTAGAAGAATTTGACGAAATAAAAAACACCACCAGATGACTCTACCTTAAGACCTCTAATGGTAAAAAAAAATTAACTCTCCTGAAAGTCTTATACTAAGGACATTTGGTCAAGTAAAATTTATTGTCGAATTTCTTTAGTATAAGACTTCTAGTCTTAAGTTTTTTTTTGGAAAGGGTCGAATAACTTAGGCCTAAGTTATCTGATGTACTACTTTTGAAAAAAGGTGTGAACCGTACAACTTACTTGTAAAACTTCCCAGAGATTAATTAGACCGTTAAATTTCAAGTAAAGCCCTTTGGTATACAATTTTTTTTGACTTTATCCCAACGCAAACCGTAAGACCGAATAACTTTAAAATCTAAATAAATAAATAAATAAAATGTATTTTTTCAAACTTGTACTATTTATAGAGGGGTATAATAGTCAAGTTTTGTAAAATATAGGGGTGGAGGAATATAATTGTAGAAATATATGATAAGATTTCCTATTCACATATACTTGTCGCTACTCGAAAAATACGAATCGTGCAACGACGGGGAGGCGAAAAGAAAGGACAAAAGAGTCGCCACCGAACTTTATTTATCCCATGAGGGGAAAGGAAAATATCGAGAAAACCTTAAGAAAGAAATGGATAAGATGGTCTTGCAACCATGAACGGGTTCGGAAGCCGGTTATGAGAAGGGAAGGTATTAGCACCCCTCGCATCCATCGTACTCGATGGGAACCTTTTGTTTGTCGTATGTGTGATTATATCTGCTTAACTATTATGCTATAAGAAGTGTTCTAAAAGATAGAGGGAAGGGTTTAGAAACGGGGAAAGAGAGGTAACGGGGGGAAGAAGAGAGAGAACAGACTCGGTAGGACTTCGCGGTCCTATGCCTACGTATTCTCAATAGATGTGAGAAAGTCAGAGTTGACGTAGTTCGGGGAACCACAGATATATGGGGGGAACGTGCTCGCCAAGACATCGCCGTCTTGTGCCTACGTATTCTCATCTGGTATGAGAAATCAGAGCAGCCGTAGTTCGGCTAACTACGGGTGAAAGGTGAAAAAGGGAGCTCGCCAAGACATCGCCGTCTTGTGCCTACGTATTCTCATCTGGCATGAGAAATCAGAGCAGCCGTAGTTCGCCCTACGGTTTGTTGATGTTTTTACGGATGATGCTATCGTGCGCATTCTAGCAGTTAGGTGTTTTGCAGCTCGCTCGTTGGAGAGTTAGGCGTTACCTGTTTGCGGTAGAACGGACGTAACATATCCTTTTTGAAAGATTGAT